CCCCTCCCCTACCCCTTCTTTAACATACCTTCTGTGCACATGCTCACTCTAATAATACATAGGGCAATACTTCCACACCTTTTGTAGAAGGTTTAATGCATGGCTGTGGCCAAAAAAAGCTCATTACCTGGTGGTCAGCCTCTCTGAACTTGGCTGGCCAGGCCTGCTGATGACAGTGCATTGCTAAGTAAGGGCTTATAGCCTTTCCAGCTTGGTAGGGCCTGATAGGACTCACCCTCAGCTGGCACGGGCTTCCAGAAGCTTGGGGGTCACCTCCATGCCCCAGGAAGGCATTGGAGAAGGACTTTCGTGAATAAGCTTCCCCTTGTCTTTCTGAAAATGCCAGCAGTAGGGACTCAAAGCAGGCCCCTGGGACAGGGTTTGCACCAAAAATGCCCATGTTGTAAGGTAAAAATGAATTGGGTTGGCCTCATTTGCATAGTGTTTTGCATTTAATCTCCATGGTACTCATTTCATGTCAAAATGCATAGAAATGTCCCCAGGCCTCATCCCTCTCCCCCTAGAACCCTACTGCTCCAAATGCCCTGTTCCTCACCCTGACCTCCCTGGACCTCTGTCCCTCTGCTCATCAAAATTCTCCTAGCCTCTCCTGGGTCAGACTGGACAGGTCCAAACTGACAAAAACTCCTGGCTGGGCTCTGTCCAGAAACTTGAACCCTCGACAACTTTATTCCTTATCACTGTTCCAATTGGTGCTCGAGATTCCTCCTGGGCCTGAGCAAGCTGATGCTACCCCATCCTGACTGGCACCTCCTCCACCTCTTTGCTTTTGGTGCCAGAGCGCAAAGTGGCCAGTGATTGATGGGCCTGCGCTCCCGGTAACCGCACCCAGTGGCCCAATCCTCCTCCCTTCTCCAATCCCTCCCCTGTCCCTATTCAGAGATCAGATTGTCTCATGTCGGTCCCTGAGGTCCCATTAATTAAAAATACATCCAATTAAATGGCAGGTGAAAATGTGCTATTGGAGCTCTTCCCCCCCAACATCCAGCCTAGGCTCTCCCCCACCCCCCCACCCCCTTTAAGGCTCAGCTGTGCTTTGAGCTGAGAAAAAAAATACAGAGATAGAGAGGAGGAAAGTGTGTGTATGTGGGGGGGTGTCTGAACCTCTGCCAGGGTAGCATGTGCCAGCCTGGGAGGGTGGCATCATGCCCTGGTGTCTAATTTCTGTGGGTGTGAGGAGGTCTCATCAGTTGGGCACCTACCCCTTCCTCTCTTAAAGGGGCAGGGGGGCATTGAAACTCACAGTTCCCTTTAACTTAAGCATGGCCAGCTAGGGGAGATGCAAATGGTGGAAGGGCTTTGGGGGAGCTGGGGAAGGAATCAAGCATCCTGTCTTTAGTATGCCCCCTCTACTCCTTGCCCCACCCCCCAATCTGAGAAAGAGATAATGAGGAGCCGCCTGGGGACCCAGGTGGCAGAGTATGGTGCTGTTCCCATGTCCAGCTGTGCTTGCCCCATGCCCCCTGAAAAGATGGGCAAGGAATGGAGGCGGGGGAAGGATGTCACACATCGATCAGATAGGAGCAAAAGACAGACAGAAATAGAAAGCAGATGGACAGGGCAGGCAAAGTGGCTAGATATGCGGACAGAACATAGCTGGGGTCTTTTATCCCCAGCCCCAAGGGTAATGGGCTTTGTTCTTATTGAGGAATTTGCCTGTTTTATTTACTCTTCCCCCAGGGAGAAGGAAGCAACAGTGTCCTGAGTCTCTAGGCACTATGGATAGTGGCCTGGCATCATGGGAACATATCTGGACCGGTCTGGGGAAGGCATCCCATATTGATAGGCACTGCCTACCTCATTATCCTTATTTTCTCACCCTGGTGAGCACTCTGGCTCCACCTCTTCAGCACTGGTAGCCCTCAGATGCCAGTTTAGCCAGCCACATGGGTGGTGAAGAGGCAAACTGGAGGAAGACCGTCACCCTCTGGGCATTACAAAAGTGAGGGGTCCTCCAGGACCACTGGGAGAGCCCTTAGAGAGACTCTGGTGGGGAAAGGGGCTGAGTATTGAAGGCTGTCAGATTCAGGGGCTCCTGACACTTGAACCTGTAGTCAAAGCCTGAAGCTTCTAGATCAAGAGGTAGGTTGGAGAAAAGGAGGGAACCCAGACAGCCTAGGGTCCCCCACCCAGCTTCCTTGGCATCCTCAGTGCCTCTTCACTTTAACGCTAATTGGAGATTTTAATCTGTGCTGCTGCTCTGCTCGGGGTGCTTGGGGTTGGGGGGGGGGAGCGCCAGCTGTGCAGTAATTCCAGCAGCACCGACTGTTTAATCAAGCTGTCCGCCTGGGGAGGGGGCCATAGGCCGGGAATGGGGATAGGAATGGGGGGGGTGGAACCTCTGTCCTCTTTACCTCCTGCAGCCTGGCAAAGCTCCATAGGCTTTGGTTCAAACGCAGAGGTCCCATCTCTTGCCCAAGTCATAGCACAGATAACCACTGGAGCCATGGCTGGGCCCACCCTTTCCGGTGCTTTGTGGCACAGGGGGGCATTTCATGGTCAGGTAAGATGCGGTTGGGCCCCATTCTCTCCGTGTTATCTTCATGGCTTGGTCCCCAGAGGTGCCAGATCTAGAGCTGGGAGGACCTCAGAGGAGGAAACCTGTGACACAGTGACTAGCCCAAGGTCTCACGGTGAAGTGTCTGAGGCAAGATGGGAACCCAAGCCTTCCTGACCTAGCGCAGCAGCGGGCTTGAGCCGAGGCAGACTGTGACGAAGGATAATGAGGCCCATGATCCCGATCTGTTCTCATTCATCAAACATTTATTGCACACATACTAAGTGCAAAACTTCATGCTTTTCCTCCCTGCTAGGCTCCTTCACTAAGAAATGACCATTTACAATGGCTTGGAGTTTATAAATCACTTTCCTTACAGCCTGTGAAGTAGGCTGTATGTGTAAACGTGCATATATATGAACATGCACGTGCATACATGCAGGCACACATGCACAGATATACACGTAGATATGTACATACATATACATATATGTGTATACACACACACACGTATAATTAACGCCATTTTGGAGATGAAGAAACTAAGTCAGCTGTAAGAAACCATGGGAGGAAGGTTATTTCCTAGAGAAGTGAAGATTCCCTACAACTATGAGGACTGTGCTGGAGAAGACTTTTGGGAGTTCCTTGGACAGCAAGGAGGTCAAATCCACCAATAAGTAAAGAAATTAATTCATACTCTTTTTCAAATACTGAACCTTAAATACTTTGGCCAGATAATGACAAGTCAGGACTCAGAGGAAAAGACTCTGATGTTGGGAAAGATGGAAGGCAAAAAGAAAAGGGGATGGCAGAGGATGGGATGGATAGAGAGTGTCATGCAAACAACAGGCATGAACCTGGACAGATCTCTAGAGATAGTGGAGGACAGAAGGACCCGGCATACTATGGTTCAAGGTGTTGGACACAAATGAACAACTGCACAACCTGCAGGGCTGGTAGAGGAGTTGCTCTGCTCAGAGACAAGAGATAGATGGGTGCTCTTGGAAAGGTCATGCTGGACCCCTAGGGAACTGATCGTAACCTAAAAGTCTGAATGCCCCTATTGTTTTCAGGGAAGTTCAAGGCACTTGGGACCCAGAGACAAGAGGAGGGGGAGTCTTTGATGCTAGGCTGCTGGGAAGTATCCAGGGACTCCACCCATGAATACTGCTTCTCCATGGAAAGGACAAATAGTGCAGGCTATTTCTTTGGTTTCCAAATAAATGTTATATTTCTCTAGAGAGGAAAAGATGCCCCCTCACCCAAGTTCTACCCTTTAAGTATTGCCCATGGGGCAGGCTTTTAAATTGGCAGGCAGTGCCCTCGTGTGGCAGAAATCAAGACTGCATCCACCCCCCTCAACTCCCCACGGTCAATACTTACATCCCTTATCCTAACCACCCAAGGCAGCAGCTCAGAGGTGACAGCTGGTCAGACTGCTTGTGCTGACAGGTGGTGCCAGAGGTGGGCAGAGAAATGAATTCTTTGCCCCCTGGGCACCCTGCACATAACTGCTCCTTTCCGAGCTCCAAGGATGTCTCCTGACCCTCTACACCTGCCTCATCACTCTAACAGGTCTGGCGAGTTCTAGATAGGGATACTACCTGAGAAGCTCTTAGTCCACACTTGACATACACACTCAGGGCTGATGTCTATATTGTAGGGATTGCTGGTTGACCAGACAGGGAAGTAGAAGAGGGAGGAAGACTACCACAAAGAACGATGACTGCTTTCTAACACGCTGGGAAATGGGGGGAAAAGCCCTGCTCCCTTCCTGCCAGCTCTCCACAGGCACTCGGCCCAGGTTGACACCTGAGCTCTGACAGAGGGTGACATCTGGTGGCTGATTCCTCCTTATGGCCAACATACTCTCCAGTCCCTGGGGAAGTTCTGGGAATTAGTGGAATATCACAGCCTCAATTCCTTCTCCTTGGAGGCACAGCCGAACTCCCTTCTCCAAGCTGGCTGGACATACCCTCAGGCCTGCAGGCCACAGGGTGGAGTGAATCTCCAAGGTTTCAGGCCACTGGTGCCTTCTCATCCACTGGAAAAGGGCAAATGGGGCAGGCTCCCCCCCAAGTCGGGCCTTTTCTTCCCAGCTATCTTCCATTATCTTGTTTTACTGGTTCCTTCCTCCCATACCCAACAAATGAAAGAACTGACTCTTTTCTGTTTGTGGGATATAAAGCTGCTGCAGGAAGGTTTTCTCAGTGGTCAGGACTAGAAGCCACTGGGGCAGAGGGCAGTTGAAAAGAATAAGGACTTTCTTCTCTTTGGAAATATTGAGGGAGGAGAAGAAAGACACTTTTGCCATCATACTATTCTGAGCTAGCTGACAGGCAGTCCTGTTTGGAGGCAGGGAGGGCACCAAGTTGATTTTTTTGTAAGGTTACTTCACTGTGACTTGCCTGGGCCAGGAGCTGGGAGTAAAAGAAGACAGCTGACAAGTCTGTATAAATTCTGGAACAGGATTTAAACTCACCACCCAGGATGTGCTGGGTCTTCATCAAAACCTGAAAGGGAGGCAGAAAAGTAAATTAGTTCAGAAGATAAGGATAGCTCTTCCCTACCCTGGAACAGACTGGCCTTCTTTCTATCCACTATATCAGGCTGCCTTTCTCATTCCCTTAGGGATATTCAAACAGGAACATCCCCACCCCTTCTTCCTTCTTGTGAGGTGCCCCCTCACCTAGGCTAAATGGTCACATTCTCAGATGTCTTCATTCAAAATGCCCCTTTAGACACCCAATGGAAATGGTAGCTTCAGAGGTTAAGTGACTTATCCAAGGTCATACCTTCAGTAAGTGAAAGAATGGGGATAAGACTCCAAGTCTTCAAACTCCTAGCCCAGTGTCCTTTCTCTTATACTATGTATGATGCCTCTGCAGGGATGGTGTCTAAATGGCAAAGAGACAGTATAAGGGTACCCAAATGTGACCAAGGATATTAAGACCTGACAGCTGGGCGGGGCAGCGGTGGGAGTGGGGGTGGAGAGAGGGTATCTATCTACCTAAGGCAGTGGTTGTTCACCTTCTTTGTTTCATGGGCCCCTCTGGCAGTTTGGTGAAGTCTCAGGATCCTTTCTCAGAAAAAAAATGTTTTTAAATATTAAATTTATTAAATTTATTAAATATGTTAAATTAAAAATTAAATTTAAATATTAAAATGTTTTAAACTTACAAAGGAAAACAAAGTTTGGTGAAAATAAAGATGTAACTGTTTTCTCTTTCAAGTTCATGTACCCTTTGAAATCTTAACCCCAGGTACAGAACCCCTGCCTGAAGGGAAGGAGAGGAGCAGCCTGGTATAGTGGATAGAGAGAGGAGGACTGTCTTGGACACAGTAAAACCTGGTTCAAATGTTATCGAACTATGGGATCATAAACAAATCCCTGAAATCTCTTAGTACCCTGAGCAACTCCAGAAGATAATACATTGATAATGGGCAACTGTGGAGAAAATTTCCATACTGGGAGTTCCCCATATTAATGAATATACCCCCCCCATAATCCCCTACCCTCCCCACCTAACAGAAAAGCAGGGAAGAAGAAAGGAGCACAGGGCAAAGGATGGTAGGGTATGTAAAGGATGGAAACCTAGCCTGGAGAAAAGAAAACTGAAGATTAATGACTACTTGGCTGTTAGCCCTTGATGGGTATCCAGAATACAGTAAACACTTCACTGATAGTGAGAACAGAACAATGAGAAGGAAATGGATTGCTACATGAAAGAAGGTGTGAGACTTTCTAACTAGTAGGTATCTGTGGCACCAGGATTAATGACCAAACCGGGGTGACATCATCTCTTTCTCCAAAGATCTAGGGGAAAAAATTTAAAAAAAAAAAAGCTTAGCTTGGTTCTCTTAAGACACTGAGACAAGTGAAAGGGAAGAGCGAGGGGTATTCCACCAAGCTGTGAGACTCTCTCTTACCTGATTTCAGAATCCCAAAAACTTCTAGAAGGATGCCAAGAGGTTTGCCAAGGCTCTAAGTGTGAGATTATTGTAGGCATGGTGCCCATTCCTCAGGAGCCTCCCTTCCTGCTATTAACTTGTTCTATAAAAAAAGAAAAGACAGGTAGGTCAGTATTATAACCATGAAACAAGGAATCCCAGGTCAGAAAAGCTATTTCCAGCAGGGAACACTTAATTGATAAGACATTAGAAATGATGACAATCTTCCCATACCCTTAAACACTAACTCCTAACACCTGAGAAATTGAAACAAGGCAGCAAGTCTTCACTGAGCTCCTGAGTGAATAGTTTTATATCAGACAGGGGAGACACAGGAGGCAGTATGTGCTGGGCAGGTAGGCCACCACTACTACCTTCAGATTGCTGGAAACAACCCAGGACCCTGAACCCAAGACCCTTGGAAATGGCAATGCTTCCAGCTCAGTGCCTTCAGCCATGCTGCTAGGAAGTAGCCCTTGTTCAGATGCAGCTTGGCAACTGTTCCTGCAGGTGCTATATAGCCTCAATTACTGAAACCTCAGAAAAGAAAGTTCTTGTCGGCAAACTCTTTGGCATAATCATACGGTCCAACACCAGAAACAGATGATTTTACCAGTGGAAATGATGCTAAAGAAGAGGTATTAACATCTGCTTTGCCCCCATACCCTAAAGACCATGGGGGCCCTTCCATCTGATAAAAAGCTGAAACCTTTGATATGAGTTGTCTTCCCCATTAGTATGTGAGCTCTTTGAGAGGAGGGATTGTTTTTCTTTTCTAATTGTATCCCCAGCACTTAGCACAGCACTTTACACAATGTATGTCCTTAATAAATGATACATCCATTCATTCATATCAGACACTTGGAGTCCTGAAAAAACAGACATCATTTCCTAGAGGCACTGTGGTATAGATGAGAAAGAACACTGGACTAGGAGTCTGAAGACTCGGAATCTAGTCTTCATTCTATTACTGACTTGCTGTATGACCTTGTATAAGTCACAGTTTCTTAGCCACCTGCTTCACATGAGAGATTATATGTGAAAATGTAAGGTGTTACACAAATGTAAGGTACTCTTACTCCCAACCCAAGATGGCAAACAAAGACATAGACTTTCTCTGCTTTTTTTTTTAACAGCTGGTCTGATGGGGGAGACAAGAAACACATGAATCAACAGAAATTAAAGTGATAAATCACAAAATTATACAAGCAAATTTTGTAGGAAAGATGATTCTTACATTGGATTGGTGGACTTGGTTGGAGTAAGGATGCTGTGTGGACCTAAGGATCACGGGTCCTTTATAGAAGTGTGTTCTAACTTCTCTGAAGGGTGGTTTAGAGACCAGAAAAAGGCTTTGACTATGAGGCAGTTTACTTGGAGTAATTCAGGCGAATAAGAGATATATCCTCTGTCTCCAAGTCAGAGACCAATCTGTATAGAGGCCAACCCCATATTTTGCCCCTTGCCTCACTCCCATCAGCCTTGAGGTTGACAGGACCAGATGGTAAATACAAGGAAATCTGATGGGTAATAATAGCTGGATTCCACCTTATTGGTAGCCTTAGTGATTCACTCCTTGTTTCCACATACCTTGGCTAGTAACTTTGATTTCTAAGCTCTCTAGCTGGCTCTTCCTCTCCTTTTTTCCCTTTATGCCTTGCTCCTATCTTGGAAAAGGCTAGAAATAAGGCTCTTCTAAACTATGCACCCAAAGCAAAAGACTGACCCACAACCACAGTACCTAACAGCTGTCTAGAGTGTCTTCTCCTACCTATCACCAGGTGGAGGCTGCCCCTTCACCTAAGCATATGCACCAGTATACTTTCAAATGGAGCCCCATTATGCTGAGGGCCTATGGATTGCTGCTTCTACTTTGCAGCTTCAGAGATTATTTTGACTTTGGTTCTCTACCTAGTAAATAAGTCTATTCCCTTTCTTCCCTTCTTCCTCCTTTGCATTTCAATGTGTCTGTATTATGACTCAGAGTTCAAACTTAGCAAGAAATTTCTCCTCTCACTAATAATCTTTTTTTTTTTTTGGCCATGCTACTCCCCCATGGGAGGGTGATGGGTGTCCTAAGACAGCTACTACTTAAAGGTGGAGAGCATCAGAATCCTCAGCCATGACCATAACATAACATCCCCAGTCATGTTCCCAAGAGAGCTGGAGCTTGACTCTAAAAATGCCTTTCTCTCAATTTGTATGGTATTTGCATATTATTCATTTAGTGACAAAATGCATAGAAAGCTTCTCAGTTCCTTTTCCCTAATAACTCCCCACCACTCCCACACATCAGCCTGAGTGTCTCATTCTCCTCTTTCTCTCTCTGTATATATGCATATATGTGTGTGTATACATATGCATACACACACACACACACCCCATTCACACATATGTATATCAAATGAAAAAAGTGGTATAGTGGAAAGATCACTGGTCTAAAAGTTCTATCCTGACTTCTGTTCCTAGCTCTTCCAACTAAGTAGCTAGGGAACCTCTGGAACAAAGCATCCGTTTCACTATTGGCTGAGAGGAATTCCTTTCTCTTCTATACAACTAAGAGGCTGTAACAGATGATCTCTATGGCTCCTTTATTCTCCAATATTCCCTGATTCTATAACTTAGCATAACCCTATTTGGAGAACACTCAGCAGGGAAGTATCTAAGCCACTTGAAAGTGATAGACCCACTATTGTCTTTCACTTGGACTTAGCCAAAGGGTACACTTAAGTGAGCTCTAGTGAGGCCTTCCTAGAGACTCTTTTTCTGTCCAGAGAGTTAATCTAAGAAAGCATACCCAACCCCTCCAATTCAAACTCCACTAAAGCTCTAGAGGGTAGACTGAGGTCACTTGGATGGGGATAAGAAGCGAGAAATTAATCTCAACACCCTCTTCAATATTATTAGTACTGCTCGGCCTCTGTTCTTAGGCAGTGACCCTTCATATAACATGACTGAGTAGGCAGAAGAAGAGCATGTGATCACATCTACAGCACAAATATACTATACACTATCCATCTAATAGAAATACATTTTTTGGTCTTGTTTATACCCATTAAGGAGATCCTTCAGAGGTGTGTGTTTAGGGAATGGGACTACAATGACCCAGCCCGCTATCCTCTCCAAAGTCAGAGGAGGAGAGAAAGACAGGAGCCACTTGGCTTCCTATAAATTGTTCTGTCCTTCCTCACAGCTGCAATCAGAAGCTAAGGGCTCCCGCAGGCCCTGTTCTGATCTGCTTCGGGCAAAGGAGAGTTTTTGAAACAGAGAGGACTTGGCTGCAGCCCCGTTTCAGTTGCCGGTGGGGTTGGCTAATGGGCTCGTTCAGTAAGACCCCCGCCCGATACACTAAAGAGTCCCCTGCTGGTCCCCTCCCCATTCCCAACCCAATTAATAAACAGCTTCCCCCCCACTTTATGGCTGTGGGAGCAAAAAAAGATGGAGATACAAACGACCCCAAGGGAGGGACAGAGACAGAGGACTTCCAAGCTCTGAGTAAGAATGTGTTGTATCCACAGACAGATGCTGTCACAGACTGGATACACCCTACTTTCAAAGTTCTAAAGGGGGAAAGAAAGAATTGGCAAAACTTCACATTTTTCTTTCCCACACCCAGGACAAATTGACCAAAACCTGCCAGGCATACCTCCAATAAGCTAGGCTATTGGGATGAGGATATGGCAGTAGTTTCTTCCTTCCTCTCACTTTTCCCCATGTCAAAGAGTACAGCAATTCACTCTTCAAAATTTCAAATGAGTCCTATTGGCTTCAGTGGGAGGACTAGGGCAAAAAAGCACGTGGATTACAGATTTAGAGCAGGAAGGGATGGATCAAGTTAGTCCAACTTCTTCATTTACATATGAAGGGAACTAAAGCCCAGAATGAGGAAGTAACCTCTCCAAAGTGACACAGGCAGTAAGAGAGCCAGGACTTAGAACCTAGTTCTTCAGAGCCTAGGCTCTTGTCACTATACTGTGCCTACCTTATTGAGCCTCATACTAGATATGACCCCAATATTGAAAATGGTCCTGTCTTATAGTAGGTTTATATAGTAATGCCCCTTTCCCCCTAGAAACCAAAACACACCACTTCCCAATGCCCATATCACCACATAATTGGGAGTTATCACTTCCATTTTTCCCATTAAAAGTATCATTAAGTCTTCTTAAGTTTTCCTCTAATCCTGTCCTTTAGTCTCACCAGTACTTATTTTAGTACAGTCCCTCATCACCTACCTCACAGCTAGACAACTGCAACAGTTAATCACCAATGCCTCTGGTTTTAACTCACACTAGAATAATCTTCCTCAAAAGCCATTTTCATTGTCCTTCCTCCACTTAAAAACAAAGACACCCCCTAAATTGTTAAACTAAAACTGAATTTGTAAGACTGACCTTCAAGGCAGCTCTACTAACTTACCAACCTCATTTCTCAGTATCATCTTGTTCTAATCCTGTTAGTTTCATTTACACAGAGCAGGCTCATTTTCATTCACCTACCTTTGGCTGTGCCAACCCAAGTATCTAGAAGGCTCTACCTCTTCTCAGCCACCCCATAACATTCCTTTTAAGTATCTCAAAACATGCTTCCCTCAAGAAGCCGTACTACCCTACTCTCACTTCCCTACAGTATTTTAATTTGTATTCATTAACACGTTTTCGTCAGAGGCATTTTGTCAGGGTCATATCTTAGAATCAGGAAGACTAGGCTTCAATTCCTGCCTTTGACTCATACTGGCTGTGAAAATGAGATAACCTCTCAGTATCCCAGGAAACTCTCTAAGACTATAAGTTACAGAAGTTACTGATTTCTATCAGTGGAGGGAGACTCCATACTGGGGATTCCAACCCCCCCCCTCAAATCACAGGCCTGATCCAAAACCAAAAATATACATTTACTTATGAGTGCTGTTGAAATTGTTTTTTGTTGTTGTTAAGGTTCTTATCTCTGATTCCCACCTCTCCCAATAGGACTCAGGAGCTCCTTAAAAGCTAGGACCATCTCTGATTTCTCTACAGGACTCTATCCAAATCTGTAGACAGTAGACACTCAATATTGTTGAATCATTGCTTCCCCATTGAAATTCTATAAACAAGGGCAAGA